ATAAGTAATAGAAATTGTACTTTTCTCTTGTTATGTATCTATGATTTCAGTCAGGCATGGTGGTACATGCCTGTAGTCCCAATAGCATGGAAGGCTGAGGCAGAAGGATCACAAGTTGGAGGCTAGCCTGAGCAATTTAGCAAGGCCCTAAGCAACTTAATGAGACCCTATCTAAAAAAATAAAAAAGGGCTGAGCATGTGGCTCAATTATTAAGTGTCCCTGGGTTCAATCTCCAGTACCCAAACAAAACAAAAATTTCATAATTTCTAAATGTATATTTAATATGCTCATTTATTCTTGGCACATAAACCTGTAGCAGTCCACTGATACCTTGTAGTTAGCCCTTGCTCTTCCATTTTGCCCATCCCTCAGTCCTGCCACATTAATATAACTTCACTGTCCTTTATTCTGACAAATTTTCTATATAATCATATTGTTAGAATACACATAGACTTCATTCAAAAATCTCATCCTACAACTTTGCCTTAAATTAAAGAGCAGGAAAAAGGAAACTAAAAGGAAAAGAAGAAGGATGTAAAGCATCTCATTGTCTGGTAAGTCCTCAGGTTTTTGTTTTTTTTGGTTTTTTTGTTTTTTTACAAACATTATGAAATTCACTTTTGTGTTAACCCATGTAAATAAATTATTAATTTATAACATTTTGTTTGTAGGAACTGCCCTGATTTTTCAGATTCTGGCAAGTATTTCTTTTTTCCCCTCAGCTCACTTTTACTTCTTTTAAATGAAAGCTTTTCTTTCTGATCTGATACTTCTTTGTCTTTTAAATATAGGTTTCTAGCACCTTTGCATTACCTTCAGATTCTTGCAGAGAAATGAAACATCAAGCTCACTTAGTGTGTCTGACTCCATCTGATTGGAGGAGTACATTAAGTTTCTGGCTGCGCTCTTTCTCACTGTCCCAAGAGTCTCATGATGCTGAGGACAGTCATTGCTTATCATCCTGGGGACTGAAGTTTTAAGTCAGATGTCTTCAAAGCTAACAGATATTAGAAAAAAATACACAAGCAACAGAGCTAACATTGAACAATGACAGAGATAACTAATATTGTGATACAAAAAGCAAATGGGGTGAGTATATCAATTTAATCCCACGTTAATATGCGTGTCTCATCTTACTGTTGGGTCTGGGTGTCATAAAATACTTTCATTGATTAGTTTAATTGTTGCTCTCTAATGATTTATGCACTGGCTTGAGAGAAAGGCTACAAAAAAGTCTGATGTTACAGTGTTTATTATTTACTTACTTAACTTTACATCTTACATTTTTGAGGTCCTACTGTCTGTCCTTTACTATGTGCTTGGTGCTAGATATTATGACTTTTGAGTTTAATGAACATTAGTACTTCTACCAATTCTCAGACAAAGTGATCTTTTATGTTTGTCATATGTTTTTATTCTAAAAATACATAAAATCCTCTAAGACATTACAATTATTATTTTTTACAGTCAATATTCATTCAGAATTTCTATACTTCCTTTTTGTTATGACCTATTCCTTTCAATATTTTCTTTCCTCTGTTGCTACTCATTTTTTTTCAACTTGATAAAATTCCTATAGTATTTCTTTCAGTATAGGTTTTGTATTTCTTCTAGAGTAGGTTAGAACCAGCTTTTGGGGTCTAAGCTTGTCTTCATCTTCTTGTAAAGAGGAGAGGAGAGAATTACACACATACATACACACACACACACACACACACACAATTGTTTATTGAATCCTAGATTGGCAGCTTCTTAGCTTCTTAGCATCCATGTTATTCTTGACATCTCAATGTTTTATTCTTAAGTGAATGACAAATGTCCCCAGAGGAAAAGTTGGTCTGAAGCTCAGGTTTACATTTACCTTCCCTCTAGAATGGCAGCCACTCAATTGCTTTGGTAGCTCTCTGATGTCTTGCACAGATTTAAAATAAAAATTTTTAAATATTTTAGTTGTTTTTAGCAGGATAGTTTCTCTGGTACAAACTACTCAGTTATAACCACAAGTGAGGAATTTAATTTTTAAGAATTATTTCTAAAAAATCATAGTATCCACATGGATTGCCCTAGCCAGAGAGATTTTTGTTTTTTGAAGTCTGAATCTCCCTTACTCTCTAATATCATAATTTCTATCTAAGGTAAATTTCTCAATTATGAGATAGTAGAGTCTGATACAGTCTAGAAGAATGTACATGTCTCTGGCTAGACATGTGGCACTTGCCCTGTTCTCATCAGTCACACGTCTCTACCCATGTCAAAGTCAAGTGTTCCCAGTGTCTTTTATACTTCCTTATATAATACAGCATTATGTTGTAACCATTTGTTTGCTTGTTCATCTCTGCTGAACTGGAACTGGACCTCTGCTGTATTTATCTTTATGATTTCAGTGCCTACCATAGTGCTTGACATCGCTGGAAGGTGTCCAGCAAGCACTGTTTGAATAAAGTGTTTTCCTAGATAAGGTTATTTATATATCAACCATAATACTCATTAAATTCTCATTAGTAGTAATTTGAATCCAGAAAGATTTTTCTTTCCCCTCTTGACCTAAACCCATATTTTATCCTACTTAAAGTCTGTGGATTCCATGCATTGAATCCATGGGGAGTTTCTGTGTTCCTAGAGTACTGAGAGAGAAGAACTAACAACAAAGTATAGGAAGAAAAGACACTGAAAACATGAACACTTTAAAGGTCACAGTTGAATACAGTCTTCAGGAGAATAAATAAGGCATGCCATCCTTTTCCAGAGTCATGCCCAGTTCTCCAATTCTGACTTCAGTGAACTTCCTTCTATGCCATTGTTCCCTTAACTCTTCATTGGCTTAAGACATGCATAGAAAGACTTAGTTCATTTTCAAAGCAAGCATATACTTTTTTTCTATATTATTAAAAGTTAAATTATTTGATCATGTACTCAAATTATTCTCTACAAATGAACCTGACATACTTTGTCTTCATTCCAGATGATTGGTATCAGAATTCCATTAACTGTATTGTGAGTATATTTATTTATTTGAAATTAAAATTGCAATTATCTTGAATTAAGAATTTGGTTTACTGACAGATATCTTATTCTTTTTCAGGCTTGTATCATTCTTAGCATTTGGTGTTTCCAATAATTTGAGCCACAGAGTGCTAGCCCACTCATGCATGGGCTTCCTTTTACTGATTTTCCTATGCATCAAAAACATACTATTTTATATTTAAAAGGTGGAAATAAAGAATTCTTATCTTTATTATCTAACATTACCTAGCTCCCGCATACAGCTGGTCCAGCTTTATGTTTCCTAATGTGTAAGGCCCAGTGCAAAGTCATCTTAAATATTTCTTACTCTCTATTTTAGAATTAAAAAATGTATTTGTGAGCCTCCAGTTTCCAGTTATAGTGAACTAGCTTGAACATCAACAGGCAATAATGATAGATGGATTTTAGTACTTTCAAGTTTTTTATTAACAATTTGACAATATTAAGAGCATGACCAGAGTAGGCAGAAACTAAACAAGAATCTACCTTTGAGAGATAGTGTGAGATTTATGGGGTTTTGCCTAAAAGCATTCTCTAGTCTTGAGGGAAGTGTTTAAGAAAAAGATGTCAGAAGACTGAGTTCAATAGCAACACAACAATTAGAAAATTGGAAAATCCAGTTAAAGAGAAAAAAAATACTATCCATGTCCAAAAACAGGAAAATGTGATACTTAAGGGGGATAAAAACGATCAATAGAAACAAACCCTGAGTGGGGCACTATAGCACACCTATAATCCCAGCAACTCAGGAGGCTGAGGCAGGAGGATTGCAAGTCCAAGACCAGCCTTAGCAACTAAGTGAGATCCTGTCTCAAAATATAAAATTAAGAAAAGACGAAGGAGTACTGGGGATGTGGCTCAGTGGTTAAGTGCCCTTGAGTTCATCCCCAGTACCAAAAAAAAAAAAAGAAGAAGAAGAAGAAGCAGGGCTGGAGATGTGGCTCAAGTGGTAGCGCGCTCGCCTGGCATGCGTGCGGCCCGGGTTCGATCCTCAGCACCACATACAAACAAAGATGTGTCCGCCGAAAACTTAAAAAATAAAGAAAGAAAGAAAGAAAGAAAGAAGAAGCAGCAGATCCCTAAGATGACCCAAATGTCACAGTTAGCCAACAATGATTTTAAGCAGCAATTATAATTATGTTCCAGGACTTAAAGGAAAATATACACAGTAGATGAACATAAGGGGAATTTCAGCTGAAAAAGAGACTGAAAAAAGAATCCAAGTGGAATTCCAGAGCCGAAGAGTATAATAACTGAAATGGAAAATTTACTTGATGATCTTACCAGCATATTGGAGACAACAGAAGAGTCAGCAAATTAGAAGATAAATCGATAGAAAATATCCAGTTTGCAAAAACAGAAAGAAAAAAATCAAGGCACACATCTTAGTTGAAGGCAGGAACTAAAGTGAAATGTTCTAGCAGTTATTTCTGTAATGAAAAAGAAATGAAAAATAAAGAATTCTTGAATTTTGAATGGCTAATTATTTTAGTGTTTCCTCTGAGAATGAAAGAGAATGCGTGTTTTCAAAGCGTTGTGTTTTTGTTGACATTCATAGGCCATTTCTCTCATGTGACCATAACTTTCTTAGCTTTCTCTCCTGTGCTTTCTTTTTTCTTCCTCATTCCTTTCAGTAGCTGATGGCCTTTTCTTTCTGTGTGACTATATTTGGGAACCAGTGATAATGAAAGAAGAGCTAACTTCTGGCATTGGACTAAAACAAAGGAAGCATGTATGATAAGTCGTCATTTCAGGTTCCGTTCTGAGGCGGTTTGATGTGTTTTCCTGTTGTATTCCACTATAATTGTAATTTCCAAGTTTTTGATATTTCAACGCATAGCAAATCAGTTTTTTTAGACATCAACTTTTCTTAAGAATCTGAATTCAAAATGCCAAATGATACTTTGAAAGAAGCCCATTGTAATTATTGACCCCTCTAGACACAGTTCTGTTTCTCTTGTTTTAAACTCTACAGGTGTTTCACCAAAACCAACAGCACTTTTAGCAGCAGCACCCTTCCCTTGGTCCCAGTGATAGCACCTTATCCTCAGGATGGCTTGGAAATGAAGCCCCTCAATGCCATGAAGATGCCTGTGTGCCTGGCTTCCACAGTCCCTGACTGTGGCCAGTTACCTGAGGAGAGCATCAAGGACAGGCTGGCACCCCTACCTACCCAGCATATCTGCTGTCAGGACAATATAAATGGCATCAATTCTGAATCTACAGAAGACACAACAGAGTTTAACAGAGGTACAGGGAGCTGGTTTAAACCTTAGGTTTCTAGATGGTCTTTAGTTAGCTGAGAACTCTATCAAGGAGAGTTTTCTCTGGTCACTCACGTATTTCTTAAGAGACTGAACAAGGGTATTGTGTAGTTCAGGAAAAGATAGGACAGATAAAGGATTCTTTAAAATTCTATTATTACTCATATATTTTATCTCAGGTGGTTAATCCCATTACATTCTGAAAAATATATCCAAATAGGCTTGGATTGAGTTTGTATCTGAGCAGAAGCTTTGCAGGAAGAATGCATTTTGTAAACATGGAACTTTTAGAACTTTTAAGGGGTTTATTCTAATCCCCAATGAATTGTATAACTGTTTATAAGAGCTCAATTATATTTTAAACTTTTTGTCTGGGGGGTGGAAGGTGGGATACTGGTGATTGAACCCAGCAGCCCTCTACAATGAGCTTCGTCCCCAAACCTTTTTATTTTTTATTTGGAGCCAGAGTCTTGCTAAGTTGTTGAGGTTGGTGTCAAACTGACAATTCTCCTGCCTTAGCCCCCGACATCTCTGGGATTTCAGGTATATGCCACTGTGCCTGACTATTTTAAACCTTTTAAGTCTCTGTCTTCTCAGCTTCGAACCAAACATAACGAGGTTCTACTTTTGCTCATTATTATTATTTTTTTATTACTCGAAGTAATATTTTTAGATTGCTATGTGAAAAATCAGCTTTTATCATTTCATAAAACTTCCAAACTTTTCTCGTTTCAGGAGAGAGCTGTGGCCATTCAGAAACAGAAAACAAAATTTTAAGTTGGAAACCTCTGATTTTGCCACCTGTTTCAGAGGACTGTACTGAGAAGACTACGTGGTCTCCCCCTGGCATTCCATCAGAGAGCTCATCAGGGGTCCTTCAGCAACCCCAGGAAACCTGAGGATGTGCAAATACATAGCCAGGTTCCCACCTCAAGCCAGTAACTGCACAGAACAGGCCTGGGAATGACCTGTGTGAAGGACATTAATTCAAATCACAGAAAATCATTATTTATTTTTTTGTAGTAATGTCATATGAATGTATCTTAAAATGTGTGTCCTTTTATATTATTTATGCCTGAAAAATGCCTTTCCCTATTCCTTCCTTCCCCCTCAGTAGGAAATGGCCTTTTACATAGTTTTCAATCATCTGGAGAGTAGAGGGATCACTGTGTGTTTTCTAAAACCCTCAGTGACACTAAGAACTCCTTAAGCTGTGGGTACAGTCTGTTGGCTTTCAGCTAGGAGGGAGTTGCACAGGCCATTTGAAGTTGGCCCCCTTCACATTTTCAGATGGAAAACTGTCATTCAATATTATGTTAACAGACCTGAGAACATTTTGAAATCAACCACATTTGCAACCTAATGTTTATAATAGCAGATCTGGCTGATAAAGTTTTACAAGAGTGCCTTCCATAAACTACTTATTTACCTTCTGTCTGCCCGTGGGCATCAAACAATGTTCAGTCTTCTAAGCACCAACCATAGCCAGTGTTATGGACAAGGGAGAGTGTGAGGTCTAATTGTATTATGCAGGATGTAGGAGGACAAGTATGGCTGGAGAGAAATTAATGCCTTAATATCCCACTGCTTTAAAATTACATTACTTTATAAAATGATTGTCACATGGCTCTTTTTCAACTATTTCTAAGAGTAGGAACAACAACAACAAAAAAGACAACTGTAAAGCAGTGGCTTGAAGAGAAAGATACACATTTTAAAAAGAAGGAAAAGGGAGGGCTACAGTGACTTCTCTTGGCAGAAGCTTTTCATCCTGTTTCATAGGTATATGCTCATGGTGCCATACTGCTTGACAGTAGTCATTTTCTCACTTCCTATATGGATAGCAGTTGGAACACATGAGTGCATGTGTGTAAGTCGGTTTTTCATCACTGTAACAAAATACCTGAGGTAATTTATGTGTAAAGAAAAAAGATTTATTTTGGTTTCTAGTTTTAGAGGCTCCAATCCATGATTGAATAGCCCTATTGGTTTATGCCTGTACCAAGACAGCACATCATGGAGGGAATGTGTGGTGGAGCAAAAACCACTTCCATCACAAACCAGGGAGCAATGGGAGAAAGAGGAAAGGGCTGGGATCTCACAGTTCTATTTAAGGGCACACCCCAGTGACCTAAAGACCTCACCCCACCTATTAAAGGTTCCAAACCTCCCTATGGTGCTACCCTGGGGACCAAGCTTTTAACACTTGGACTCCTGGGGCACACTCAAGATCCAAACTGTAGCAGAGTGTCAGAAAAGACTTAATTTTGAGGAAAAAAGTTTGTTTGTTTTAGTTTCCTGATTTTTTTTTTCCAGAATGCATTGTAAACAGGCATCTAAAGCTTTGATAAACAGAGCTTATGCATCACAAGTTGCTGCTGCAGCCTCCGAGTGACAAGGACATTACAACTGCCTTTTGGAAGTCTTCTTTCTCAATGTTAGGAAAAGAAAAAAAAATCAAACATTATAAATGTATTTCATGTCTTAAGTCAGGTTTTCATGAAGTCACTGCTCTTTTTTGGATTGTGCATCCCTTTGGGGGAAGAAACAAAAAAAATCATTCTTCTTACATAAGATCGAGCAGTTATAGCATAAGTTTTTTTTTTTTTTTTTTTTTTAAAAAAACTAGTTTCTCAGAAATTGCAGTGGAATAGAATAATAGAATACTATGTTAATCAACTGTATGTAAATGCATCAGTTTTTCCTTACATGTGTTTATATATTTTATAAATAGAACTGTTAGTGAAAATGTTCTGTTTCAGCTGGGTCACTAAGCTAGAGTTACTTCCAGTAGATTATAGGAAATATAGTGCCATAGCTGGATATTAGAACTATAAGAAAAGCAAGTTCTACATTCCAATGTTCATGCCTGTAGTGTACCAGATTAATTCTTTGTGTTGTTTAGATGCAATTAGCTTTGGAGGGGGATAGCTGCAGCCCTTACTTCTCTGACTAGCAAAGGACAAAGTCCTAGTACATAGAACATAAAGAATACCCAGTGTGAATCAACTAAAATACACAGAAGAAGTTTAAGGAAACTAGGGAGTAGGTGTCCCTGGCAGTCATTTTGATTCCTGAAACAGGTGTATTAGCATAAGCTTTAGGTCAGAAACTGCTTCTAAAGATTGAGTTTGAATATGGGACTTGTCCACGAGGAAAAGAAAATAACTTTACCTTTCTGGCAATCTCATTCTGGACTGCTTTATTTATATGATTAGTAACACTGTTTTAAGTGTTATTCATTTTATTGTATTTTATTTATAAAAATGCCTTTATATATTGAGATATATAAATATGAATATAAATATATAGATATATATAGATATATATAATTGCCTTTATGTTTAGGAATTATGAGTTCTCCCTAAACGTGAGTTGCTCTGAACTTTCATGCCCTGCAGGGTCACCAGAAACAATCCTAATTAATGGTACTTCCCCAGGAAATAAAAGGACATAGGACATTGTGGGGGACAATACTCACATTTGTTAAGGAACTCCTGTGTCCCAAGTTCTGAGCTTAGTGCTAGTTACTATTATCTCACTCTACCCTCACAACAAATCTACCAAGTTGGTATGAAAATTCCCAGGTCACATAATGAGCTGAATTGGAACCCAGTGTATCTGTGGTCATCGTGTACGCTTCTGTTTTTTCCATACTGCTTTCCAGAAGCACTAGGGTTCACTCCTATAGAACTTGCCCAGTAACTTGTGCTGTCGTCTGCCCCTGCTGTGTAATTCCTCAGAGGCTCTGTCTCTGCAGCTGCAGAAGATCCCCACCCCTGCTCCCCGCCCCCTCCCCACCCCCACCCCCACCGGCCTTGGCAGAGCTCTGTGCTTGTTACTGTCTCTAGCAGGCCACAGTCCTCCCCTGGATGCCCTTCATTCCCAACCCCTGTCCAAGACCTTGATCTTCACTCTGCTCAGTGATCATGAAATTGATGAGGCCTCTTCAGGTTCCTCCTAGTCCTAGTCCTCGAACTCTGATTCTTTGTTCCCCTGTTCCTGTTACGCCATTCCACCATCTCCCTTTGATTTTCTTCTTTCAGTTATGCACTGATGGTCTGATGGCACCTGCCATACAGGATGCAAGTTAAATTGCAATGTTCAAAACCTTTTGAAGCTGTCTTTTCAGAAAGTATTTCTTGCTGGGTTTTGCTTTTATAAAATAGGTCTCTAAAGACCAAAGCATCCATACTGGGTTGACCATGTCACATCATTCCAGCTGTAATACTGCCAAGAAATTAATGTTTATAATTGAACTTCACCTGTGTTGCTCTATTTTTTTAAAACAATGACTCTGAGATGCATGTTTTGTATCATATTGAAAAGTATGTTTTTATTTTTCCCTAAAGTTGTAATATTGTTTGAAATTGTACATATTTTAAATGATGTAGCTTTGACAGGTTTTATCTGTTTGATGTGGTTTTATATTAAAAAGAGAATGCTGCTTTCATGGAGAGTAGCCCTTGAAGATGGGGAAGCTCAGATACCCCCTGTTTGTACAAAGTGGCCTTATGGTTTGTGATTGGGGGTGAGTGTAATGTCTGGAATTCTTTGGAACCTCCACCTCTATCCTTTGCTGAAAATCCTGTGTACACCCAAGAGCTCAGTCAGTTATCCCTTTATCCTGACTGCAGAGATCAAGGCCTTGAAGAGTAAGATCCTGGGCAATTATTAGATGAGGAGGCTGAGCTAGGGGGCTGTGAAGAGCCTGGGGGAGCCTCCCCAACAGGGTGACAGGAGGGTGAGAGAGAAGTGGGGAGATTGTGAGGAGGTTCCCCCTCACATCTTAACTTTTTACCATTACCCAGGGCCATGTCTAGGAGTGTCAACTCCGGGGTAGAAATTAGTCTCCTCAAAAGAAGAGACTGACCTAAAGAAAAAAAGTTCCTAGGCTTCCCTGACCAGAAAGCCAAGAAAATCATTTGTATTGGGTGTGGCCCTTTTGTATTTTATTCCTCATACTTAAATAACTGCTCTTTAAATCTTAGCCCTAGTCCTGAGAGCTCTGAGGGAAAGTGAAACCCTTTTCTAATAAAGTCTGAATCTGTGAGAACCAAAGGAGCTGCTTAAATTTCTCCCAGTTCTCTGTCTCCTGTCAGGCACCACTTACTTCCCTTACTGCTGGCAGATCGGCCCTTGGCTCTCTGCTGAGTCCCCTGTGGAGGCAGCTCTGAGTCCTGACTCCTCTAGTCTGTTGAACAAGCATTCGTTTGTGTTCCACCCAGATTTCAGACACACACACACACACACACACACACACGGAGCCACTGAGTCATGCTGGCAGCTACAGAGTGTGACTTTGGAACAGCCCCTGTTCTCAGCCAGCCAGCTCCCCCAGGTCTGGTGGCTGGATGCTGCTCCTGGAACACCTCCACTCTGTGCTGTGCTGGCCCTGACTCCTGGAATCAAACCACTGCAGGGTCGGTGGTGCTCCTAAGCTGCACCTCAGTAGAGGGACACATACCTAGACCCTGCTTCTTCCCGCTAGCCACACATGGACCCAGCAGTTAGCCTCTTTCTGAGTAAGTTGCAATTGAAATAACTTTCTGCCGGTGAGAGCATTGAGTGTTGTTTATTTAGGAATTGTTGAATCCACAGCCTTCCCCACCACCTTCCGGAGGAGCCAGCTTGCTCACTTCTGTAGCACGGGAGCTGGTTCCCAGTATCACCATTTTCAGTTGACTTCAAACACCTGGCACCTTCAAAAACGAGTCTTTTCTCCAGTTGTGTATCTTTCCTATTCTGCCACCTCTGTCTTCCACAAGCTGGGCCAGGACTTCTTTTGTAACCAAGTCACTTAGGGACAAGTCAAGCTGGGCCTTGCACTGGTTAGTCTGGGTATTCAATGGGGAAGGGGCAGCTGGTGTCTTGACCACCTTGGGTTTTTTTGTTTTGTTTTTTGTGGTGCTGAGGATTGAACCCAGGGCCTTGGGCATGCGAGGCAAGCACTCTACCAACTGAGCTATATCCCCAGCCCTTGACCACCTTGGTTTTTAAGACTAAAGTCTGATGGAGGGGATCTTCCTACCTCCCACCTGCCTTCCCAGAGCTTATTTTTACCTTCCTCTTTGGCTTCATGGTGTTGCAGTCACTGTGATGGTGACATTTACTGGAGCATCAGGAGATTCTTGTGCAGGATCTAGACTTGGGGTGGTGGGTGATTCGGTGTCTACAAAAGAATAGGTGGGCAGAAGAGAGGCTTTGGAAGTGTCCAGATTGTTGTCAGACAAAGCGTACAGAAACAGCCTTGGTCTCTTTGTACGTGGATAATCTTTGGGATAGAATTGTGCTTACCTGCAGGCACCTCAGTAGTTTCCCTTGCTCCCCTCTGTTGGTGCCTTTGCCCTCTGGGGGTAAAATGAGAGAGGACAGTTAATGATAACTGTACTTCCTCTGCTTTCCTTTCCAACTAGAGGAAATCCTTGACTTCATAATGACTGGGGTCCCCAACTTACATAGGAACAAGCAACTGGCCAAGGCCTGTAGGAAGAAAAAGAGAAGGGACATTATTTGACTGACTTAACATGGATCCCAGGAGATGGCACTCCCTTTCTCAATGAGCTCCATGCAGGGTCTCGAGAACCCAATCTGGAATGGCCCCACATTCCTGAGCTTGGGGACTGGGGCTCAAATGATGACATCTAGCCCTGGGGAGAAGGTTGCAGCTAAGGAAGGGCCTTGATTCTCCTTTGGCCAAGGCTAGACCTGGCCACCCTGTGGAGTCAAGCAAGTAGCCCTTCTCTTTAGATTCCCACTCACAGGGGAAGGTCCGTGGGTGCCGGGCAGCATACTGGAACACCAACAGAGAGACCACAGTTGCCACCACCATTCCTGTGCCTGCTGCACCCAACACTGCTGGATAGGCACTGAAGGGGGGGTCCACTAGGAGGTAAGATCACGGTCACATGATTTAGAGCCATGACTGAACTTGGGCAACAGTGGCTCATCAGATACCGAGGAGGCAGTGCCTGGCCCAACCAGTTTCCCCTCCAGCTGATGTGGGGGACCCCAGGGATCTGGAGATCAGTTTTTTCCCAAAGAAAGAAGTACTCTGACTGCCTGGTGGCCCTTGATGGTTTGTGTCCCCAGCCAAATTCCCTATTTCTGGCACAGAATGCAGAAGGCCATGTATTTTGGCAGCTTGGAGCTAAAGAGAAATGGGCCATAAAACAGGAAATCCCCAAGATGGGGAGGGAGCAGCAGGAAGCTGAGAGCCCTCCTGTATCCCAGAAGGTGAGACTGAGGCACAGAGTGGGGCCCCTTCTTAAGTAATCACCAGCACCCTGTTCCTCCCCACCCCCTCTTATTTCTTCGGCTTCAAGCTGAATTTGGGTTCAACCCCTAGGCCTGGAGCCTCTTGAGCCTGCAGGAGGATGGGAAAGAGTGGTAGAAATTACCAGAGGGCTCTGAGGAGAGGGTGGAGAAGAGGACAGAGATGGGGTGTAGGAGAATCCAGCAGGAAGGAAGCAAAGGAATGGAAGTGGGATGCTCTGTGAACAAGATGTACCAGGGTCCGGTTTTCTGGGGAAAAGGTGAGTCCCTCCCTGGGGCCAGCCCCAGCACCTGGTGTCTTCACCTCGGAGGGATGTCCAGCAGTGTAATGATTCAGAGCCAGGATGCGGAAGGCATAAAGGACTCCCGGGTCCAAACCTCCCAGCCGCCAGCCCCTGCTCTCTGGGTCAATGTCACTAGCTGCAGTCTCCCAAGCCCCAGATCCTGGGCCAGAGCCACTGGCCCTCCGCTGCACCAGAAAGCTTGTCAGGTTCCCAGGGCCCTCGATGGCCCATTGCAGCTGCACCTCTCTCCGGTGCCGCCCATAGGTGAGGCGTCTGATGGTGACATTGGGAGGAGCTGGATACCCTGGAGATGAGTGAAATTGGGGACCCATGTAGGCACCTGTACATCTACCACTATGATTCCTTGAGCATTCAGATGTGCTCCTGGGAAGAGGAAAAACTAGATGGGAGTTTTAGACCTGAGCAGTTTACCTGGTCTCAGTTTCCTCATCTATAAAATGAGGAGGAGGAGGAAGAGGAGGTTGCAACTGCGTGGAGTTTTTCGTGCCTGCAGTCAAAACTGCCTCAGACCCTTGGTGCCTACACCCATCTAGGGACCTGCTGTGGAGAGTCCACCTGGGCCCAAGTGTACTCCGGTGTCCAAATTTTGGAGCAGAAAAATCTAGGCAAATCCTTTCTGTAAAGTATTCTATGGCTGATGGTCTCCCACCCCGTTGCCAAACAACACACAGCACCCCCTCACTCACTCAGGACCTCCAGCAGCACACTCTGGCTGCTCTTGCCCAAGGCGTTACGGGCCATGCATTGGTAGGTGCCTCTGTGGTGTACTGGGTCAGCATCTCGGATTTGGAGGCGCAGCTGGGCACCCGCAGGGTGCAGCACAAATCCTGATGTGCCTGGTTCCACCTGCTGTTGCTGGGGACTCAGCCAGAGGAGCTGCGCTGGTGGCGTGCCCTCCTGGAGAGCACACTCCAGCCAGGCCTCTTCCCCCTCCAGCACTGACACCCGGGACTCAGCCACTGCCAGGTGTGGGGCTTCTATGGGGACAGAAAAGGTGAAATTGGAACAAGTGATCAGTCCCAGTTAGTGGGAAGGCTTGAGAGAAAGGGGCTGGCTGGTGGTGAAGACGATGCAGAGCATAGGGGGAAAGACTACGGGGCTGTGAAGCTTGTCCTGGGACAATCTGGCTTCTTGTTCAGACTCAATTGAATGCCAAGTTTCCATCAAAGTCAGCTCCAGGGTGTGCTGGTAAAAACAGTCATCCTTCCTGTTCTTCCCCCACCAGACCCCAGCCTCTCCTCCCACAGGCAGGGGTCCTGCTTACTCATCCCTGCACCTGGCACAGACCTCCTCCCCCCTAGTGGCCTACCACTTCCCCGCTGGCCCCAGGCACAATGCTGGACCATAGCAGATGCTGAGTTTTTATAGACTGACTCTATGAAAAACTCAGACTCTCAGGTGCCAATGAATCTCCTGTGATGGAATTTCCAGTCCTGAGACTAATAGGGAAGGAAATATTTGGAGTGGAGGACCTTCTTAGAGCCCTCTCAGAAAGCATGCTAGTCACCAAGCCTTTGAGACCAAGAGGTAAATCATTTTGTAAGATCTATTATATGTGACAGATCTTCTGTTTTTTTTTTAACATTTTTGAACGCCAATATTTAATTATTTTGTCTTTAGTTGTTAGTAAATAGATTGGTGGACCAGAGGAAGACAGAAAGAGGAAACAGACATCTGGTCAGGCACCTCCATATGCAAATAGATACTAATGATGAATACAATCTGCATTCCCATGTCATCTAGATCAATCCTGTCAGTACCCTAGTGACCAACCACATGTGACACTGGGTACTTGTAATGCAGTCACTTACTATTGAGATGTGAAGTAATTGTAAATACACTGCATTTTTAAAGACAAGATAAAGGGACTGGG